GGTGCCCAATCACACTCTAATCAAATATTGGTGGCGACTCTTTGAATCATGTTTTTTATTCGTAAAGCAAATCCAACAATTTTTTAGACGAAAGTTTTTTTTTTAAAAAATCACATTCACTTTTAATTTAAATTTAATTTCAAGATAATAATTAAAAATTGGTGTGGCTTTTAAAATCTCATTCGAAAAAAAAACCGTTTCGACAATGATATTAAACAAAGAGAATAAAAAGGTGATTCAAGATAAAAATCTACAAAGGACGTCTTAAAACCAAAGATGAATTTGAGTTGAAATCTTAAAAGGCTAACTCAAACTTAGAATATTGACTGCAATGTTGATGTGCAAGAAGGGATCCCTATAGATTTGAGGAATTAGGGAAACAAAATAACCCTAAATGCATTCATAAAGGTTTAAAGTTTGCTAGATGAAGGCTTCTCTCAAAATATTTGTAAATCAGTATAAGTGGGTCCATACATTCATGTCGTGTACCTCATTTTGTTGGACTTCTTTTTCCACTTGACATTTTCTTCCCAAAGCATTGACATAGTCTGATATTGTAGTTATATGTCAAATGAATGGTATGAACTTGAAATGAAATAGTAATCATTTGGATGTACTTTTTTGTTGTATTCTTGATGCATATTGAGTGTATTTTGAAGTTAAAATATGTCATTTTATGTTGCTTGGTAAAGAAGTATGCTTTTAGGGATTTTTCGTGACATAAGAAGACCAAATTTGTAGATTTGGATACTGAGTTTTGAAAGTCCAAAGTAATTTTTAGATGTTTTATGTGGGTTAGGGTTTTGAAATTTTTAACTTGGGTTACAATAGTGGGAGGGTGAGTTTTAATACTCACTTGGTAGTTTAAAAACTCACAGACCCTAAATAAACCCTAAATAAGAAAACTTATCTTTTTAATCCATTTGATGATTTTAATCGTTATAGAACCCTCACGTTTGATATGATTGAAAACTTAGCCCTTAAAATAATATTTAACGATTGTTTAATAGTACGGTTGATCAATTTAATTCTAATCCAACTTTGAAAAAGTTCCAAATATCAAATGTGACATCTCCGGTTTAGTTTTGTACTTAGCTAGGTTAACATTATTACAGAGGTAGATAGAAGAGACAACTGTTCAAGAAATATTGAAGATAAAAATGAGAGCAGAATAAGAGATGATTGTGAAATGGTATGATGACTTGAAATAGTTGTCAACTTACATTTGCATAATCATGGACCTCAAAAAGTTTCACTCGAATCCCATCTCATCACGCAATAATCACCATCCCTCCATTCCGATGAGATCACAATTCAAATGTACAACATTTGTCTACCTCGTCGAAGTTCGAACTTTATACAAAACCCGCACACAAGCATTGTTGACTCTATGACATACCAGTTGTATTCGAGACTCAACTAAATGATCAATGGCTCAATTTTCACATTTCAAAGTAATTGTCATAGCTTACACATAGTACATTATGTCACAAAGCGGAAGAACACAGCTCAATTTAGTCTGATTCGTTTATCAAGCCTCCATTTCAAACATTAGAGATTATGAAATATCCAGAGTTCATATATTCACAAAATATGAGTATAATGCTTACTTTAATCCATATTCACAAATTGGACATTATTTTCACATAGCAGTTAACCTCAGTCTTAATCAAAGCAAAACCTAATATACTCAAAACATCGAAATAACTTACCAGAACTTAATCAACACAACTACCATCTTAAATGCTCTAAGTGAGCCAAAATATATAGTCTAATTCAAATAAATATATCAACATACACAATCAAAATTGATATATATATATATATAGGATCCTACTACACGATGTAAAACTCTTTTAGTTTTACGCAGATTTAAGATCGTTGGATAAATTAAAATAGATGGCTAAGATTAATAGTAGTAAATGAGAAGGTATTCGCTGGAAAAAAAAACAATGAGTTAATCTCAATCATCTATTATTACTCATCCAACGATCCTATTGTGTAAAACTAAAAAATATTATATTATATAAGTGAATCCTAACTCAACAGGAACATGCACACGCATGTACACACAAAGACTCGATTATGACTACACTCATTTAATTTGACTTTTTAAAACATTTAAGTCAATGAAGTAATCGTAGACTTTAGCTTTCTCTTTAGATTTAGGGATTTCCATCAAAAACTTCTCCCCTTAGTAAAACAAAACATAGATTCAAAATATATGTTCATCGTCTTAATAAAAAAAACATAAATTCTAATTTTCCTTAAACTCTTAAATAAATTTAGGGTTAAGGTTGCACTTACCTATTTTTTTATGATGAATCAAATAACATCAACTGATAACTGGTAACTTGGGCTTTCTAAATATACTTTCAAGTTAGAGATTAAATCACTAATTTAGAGTTAAATTAATGTTTCTCTCTCTATAACTCCTTTAAACGTCTTTGATAGTGTTTAGCAATTTTGAGGAAGATGAATGAAATATCATCTCCCATTTATTGTTTGAAGATTTTTAGATTTGGGGATTAAACCCTTCTTTCAGGGTTTTCTTTTTTTTATTCATTTATTCTAATTTTCATTAACTATAAATTAGACATTTTAAGACTAAAATATAAGAAACTGACACATAGCATGCTTATCACCAAAATCAATTATCTTTAATAAATGGTCTAATCAAGCCAACAATTCTTCCATTTCTTCCATATTTTCATTTAAGCATCAAGCTTTCAATGTTCATACTTTAGTCCTTGAACTTTTATTCATTTTAATTTATTATTCAATTGAAAATCAAATTGAATCCTAATTTATCCAAACAAATCCTTTTCAATGATCACACAATCAGAGACTTAAAATAATTAAATGAACTCCCAAAAATTATTTTCTGATAATTGATCGTTGAAAATAAACTTGGAACAGTTTTTGAGGTGTTACAACTCTCTCTTAAAAACAATGTCTTTAAATTTTACTTGAAATGAAAAAGGTAAGAATACAATCTCTCAATCGATCTTTTGGATCCCAAGTGGCCTTCTCAGATTTAGGATTTCTTAAAATACTTTGAATAACAAAATTTTTCTTCTTGCATGATTCTTTAACTTCATGAGCCAAAATCTAAATCTATTATTTTCATTGGTCAAATCTCTATATACTCATATCGAATAACATGAGATGGGTCAAATCGGTATTTTTCGGAGCATCAAAACATAAAAAATTTTATGCATTTGATTTAGCTCAGGAGGTAGAGTTAATCGATACGTCATAGGACTGATTCTCTCGATCATTTAATACAGATCGATTAACCGTGGACTTAATTTTTCATTTTGACCAAATCGAATATTTTCTTCCATGAAAAAATTTCAAAAACACTTCCTCCCAATCTCATACTCAATGTATCTATGTCTCAAGTCTGTGTAGAACGCCCGTCTATCAAATGCAGCTTTTAGACGTTCTCAAATCAGAATAACTTTTTTTGGTATACCGGATCATTCAAGATTTAGGAATTTATTCATTCAAAATTATGAATAATATAACAAAGCTTGATACTTATGACCCTAAAAGACCTTGAACGAAGCCATTTATATATATATTATAAAAAAAACTGAAGACTACTCAGAAACAAAAATTTATCTCATGCACTTTCAAAATCTATCACAAGACTCCTAAATCTACAAAGAATCCATGCACATCTTTCAGAGTTTTTATAGTTAAATGCCTATCAAAATCTCTGATTTGTGGGTAGGAAGAGGTAAAGGTGAGTGGTTATTATCTCTAGAGGTCTCAGGTTTGAGCACCAATGGTATTTGAAGTTTATTGTCAAATGGTTAAGAGTCTTTAAAAAAGATACTGCTACTTGTAAGCATCCTATATTAATTAAAAAAAAGACTTAATACAAAAATAAGTGCCTAAACAATGCCTCAAAAAACGTTTTTTGTGCCTAAAGAATTTTTTGCTAAAAATAAGTGTTTAATGTTTTCTCAGTTACACTTTTAGATGTCTACCGTTATATTTTTAATAATAAAAATATTATTTTTAAAAGAAACTTAAAAATAACATAATTTATTTATAAAAACTCAAACTTTTAATGAAATTATAAAAAAATACTAAAAAACTAAAATATCTCATTTCAACCCCCATTACCAACTATCGTCGTTCATCTCGGGTCACCATCATCGCCAAACACTTGAGTTTTGATCGGAATTGCACAGTGGTTCGAATGGTGGTGGCAGTGTGGCTTATGGATGTCGGGATTGACCGGAATTGACAAAAATAAGTGATGATATCTTAAAATCTGACGAACCTTTGAAGGTTTCTCTATGGCAAATGGGGGGCACTTTACAACGAAAGGTTAACGGGAGTTTGATTGGGGGTCGATACCGATGCCGATGAAGGTGGCAGTGACTATCACGGATGGTCGGTCGACGACCATGGAAAGGGGAAGGGGAAAAGAGGAGGGGGTTATGCGGGTTGTATATGTTAGGTTTTTTAAAATAACTTTTTTAAATTTTTTAAATAAATTCTCAAAATTAACCGAACGTGACACATGTCACTTAACGGCCAAATTTAATGGTCGTTATGGTCCAGACACCTAAAAATCTCCGATGAAAACGTTAGACACCTATTTTTAACGAAAAATTTTTAGGTACTAAAACGTTTTTCGAGACAAAATTTAGGTACTTATTTTTGTATTAAGAAAAAAAAACCTTCCAATTGAATATATGTTAAAAGATTGAATGAAATAATATGATTTGATGAATATATACATGACTAGCTCAATTTGTTATTTACTAGCAAAGGTTTTGCTTAACTTCAATTAAAAATGATTTTCTAATAATATCAAAACTCGTCCCTTAATCCTTGGGATCAAATATATAAATGCCACCTCTGATCTCTCGGCTTCTTTTTCATAAAACATTTGTCTCTCCTTTTAATCTTTTCAATTCCTTACCAGTTAAGCGATGTTAGCTTGATCGAGGGAAAAAGAACATTGTAGGGAGCCGTAAATGGCGGTCGAGTACGAACCAATCAAGGGATACGCCGATGATTCAGAGGATTCCGTTCATGCGCAAGAAAATCTTTTGAGCATTGATATTGATTCGAGCAATGTCGAGAAAATCCAAGACGATGATGATGACAATGATGAGAAATTGAATCGGTTGGCTCTTCAGATCTCTGGCCCAAACACCGCTAACAAAGCTGATGAATGCCCCTTGATTCACCGCCGACGGCTTGTTTCCTTGGACGTTTTCCGGGGGCTCACCATTGTGGTAAAATCTCTCTCCATCTTATTGCTGCTTAACCTTTTACTTTTTTTTATCAGAAACAATAAAATCAAAGATTTTGATTGGTGGTGTTTTATAGAAATTAACAACCTCCAACCATATATTTTGTTAAGATTCTTATAAGACTTAATTGCATCATATGTCCTCAAATTATTACATTCATTTTAAATTGGTTTTTAAATTTTTTTATGTTTTAATTTAATCTCAAACTACGAATCTCATTTAAATTAGTTCTTAAACTTTTAGACATTTTAATTTCATCCCTAAACTATGACCATCGTTTTAAATTGGTCATCAAACTTTTGAACTTTTTAATTTCATCTCCAAATTCATCCAAATATGTGAGTAGTCTCAACCATATTTAACCTAAATTTTTTTTCAAACATAATAATATAACTTGGCCTAACGATCTTATTAACAACGGATGTGATTATTTTATATGTATAGTTTGGGATGAAATTGAAATGTTCAAAAAGTTTGGTGACAATTCAGAATGAAGGTCATAGTTTGAGAATGAAATTAAAATATTTTAAGTTTTAAGGACTATTTTAGAATGTTAGCCATAATTTAAGGATGAATTGTAATATTTAAAAATTTAGGCACCAATTTAAAATTCTAGAGGACGAAAATATATTTTTAATAGAATATATATATAAAAAATTATATAAATTATATATATTTTTCAATAGATTTATAAAATTTGAGTTAATAATCATGTATATGTGGGTAATTCAATTATATAAATATTTACTTGTTTATTTTATCATTTTCATCACTGTGAATTCCACTTTTTATTGTTATTTTGTTTACTCTCTTCGGAGTGGGTTTCCGATATGGATATGACATTGATATACTACTACACATTCTGAAGCTTTTTGGTATAATTGGAGTATCCAACACTAGTAACTTAGAAAAATAAATTAAGAGTTTGGGTAGCATAATTATTCTATATAGATTTATCTTTTGATGTTTTTTTTTCAATTAGTGTAAGTTTTAGGTAAGATTGTCAACGAGTCGAGTCGAGTTTGAGTATTGTTGAGCTTGACTCGATTTAAAACTCTAAATTTAGGCCCGACTCGACTTGAAAGCTCGCAAGTTTAAAATTGTCAAGTTCGACTCAAACTCAAATAAAAAATGGAAGCTCGACTCGGTTCGAAAGCTCGCAAGCTTAAAATTTTTAAGCTCGACTCGAAATCAAAAATTGAAGCTCCACTCAAGCTCGAAAAAGCTTGAACTCAAAACATTCTCAGATTTAGGTCGATTGAAGCTCAAACTCGAGCTCGAACCTAAATCTTAAGTACATGAGAGTCTTATATCGTATTTAAAAAAACAACAAATAAATGTTAATATTATTAATAATATCATTTTTTTTAAAATAAAATTTTAATATTTATTTTTCGAGTTGCTCGCAAGCTTTTCGAGTCGAGTATCAAGTAACTCATTTTAACTCGTTAAGAACTCGAGTCAAACTCATTCGATTCGAGTGTTGATTAAGCATTGACCGAGTCAATCTCGAGTAACTCGCGATCTGTCTCGTCTCATTTACATCTCTAGCTCTAGGTAAAGAATATACTTTTCTAGGGTATTTTTTTATTTTCTGAAATTCCCTCGTGTTTAGACCCTTTTGATTATAGGATAAATTATATATGTAATCACTCAACTATTACTTTGGTTTTGTTTTAGTCACCCAACTTTTTTTTAAAAATCATACCTAAAGTTCGTTTTGATCACCTGTCATTAAAAAAATTAACAGTGATGTTGATGTGTCACCATAAGGTAGTGTCATGTCATCATTGAAAAAAAATAGAAAATATTTCATTAGCAGTTCTTTTTATTTTTAACGGTAGATGATTAAAACAGAACAAAATATAACATTAGGTATGATTTTAAAAAAAATAATTGGATGACCAAAACAGAACCAAAGTGATAATTGAGTGACTAAATACGTAGTTTACCCTTGATTATATAACTCATTAGAACTATAATGTATAAATTATAAGTTTGTGATTGATTCATAAATATGTCCTTAACATGGTATCACGATCAAGGTATTTTTTATATCCATCCACTCACTACCCTGTTCTCTGGATATTTGGGGCAGTGCTCTTTAATTCTTCCCGAGGTTATAATTTTACTCTATACTTGGTTTGTTAAATATGAAATTTTAGCATTTCCTATCAGTTTGAGATTAAGTATTTTGGATGATTAATCATCAAGTTACCTTTTCAACAATATGAATAGGTAAAGAACATGAATTAAGACATCTTCTTTCTTAAAAGGAAACCGATATCCAGACCATTCGAATAAATCATGATGTCTCCATCTGAAGATGTTGTTCATGTCAAAATTTGTACTAAGCTTTTCAGCATTTGCACAAATTTTCTTTTATTTTATAATTTCTATTTTCTTGATTTCAGTATTATGTTGTTTCATCAGTATGATATTGCTCTAATTATTTTAAATATATATGTTTTTGTATTTTCTTTTTTGCTGCAGCTAATGATACTTGTTGATGATGTTGGTGGCCTTCTTCCTGCTATCAATCATTCACCATGGGATGGTTTAACCTTTGCAGATTATATCATGCCATTTTTCCTCTTCATTGTTGGTGTTTCAATTGGACTGACATACAAGGTACTGCTTCCATTTCGAATGTATATTTTTTCAATTAAAAACTCGTTACATGTAAAACGAGATTAATGGATCCATGCTCTGTAAGGAAGCAGAAATATTTCTATATCACATCATACATCTATGATCTTTCTGGTTTCAAATATGCTACGTGTCTCAAGTATCGTCACCATCTTTTAGGAGTTTAGCACTAACTGTTTTACTCTTTGCACAGAGAGTTTCCTGCAGAGTTACTGCAACTAGGAAGGCGATATTGCGGGCATTAAAGCTTCTGATATTAGGCCTTTTTTTACAAGGTGGCTCTTTATTTGTTTAACTCTGTACAATATGTCATGGCTGATGGATATTGTATGCATTTTCTTACCACACTAATAGGGCAGACCTCTAACATTAGTTCAGGGATAAATGTATCACATGAGTATTTACTGTCTAATTTTGAATTCGGTTGTCTGATAGTCTGGTAATTTCTTATCACTAACAGGAGGCTTCTTCCATGGGCTCAAAAATTTAACATATGGGGTGGATATTGAACAAATGAGATTGATGGGAATACTGCAGGTGTGCTTCCAAATTTTTATTTTGTTTGGTAGAATAATGAATGAAGGTGTTCTAAGGTGGCCACTTGCTTTCTCCTTAATGTACAGTAGGTTAAGCAAAAACTGTTTACTAAGTTGGCTTTTCAGAGGTTTTATTACAGCATTAGTCCATTATTTCTCAAACTTCTTAGCAAGTTGGAGGTGGAAATGCTTTAGGAACGAAATGGGATGAGATCTGGTTGTGGAGTTTTAACTTTTTAAGTAATGCTAATTATTTACTGTAGGATAATATTTTGTTCTCTTTTGCTTTTTGCCGGCCCTCCTTCCCAGAGAATTGCAATAGCATATTTAGTAGCAGCATTGTGCGAGATTTGGCTGAAGGGTGATGATCATGCAACACCACAATTAGCTCTGCTGAGGAAGTATCAATTTCAGTGGTAAGTGTTTTTTAAGCAAATGGTAACTCATTTTTATTCTGGCATCCATACATCACAATTACTATTGCATGATCATCACCCTTCATCCATATGCCAGTATTCTCATTTTTTAAGGATACCGTATTGTTACGAGTATTCGCATATGGTAACCGATGTTTTTTAAATTTGCATTCTCATAGTTCAAATTGTTAACTGATGTGCTGTCTCTCTTCCTCACTCTCAGGCTTGCAGCTTCTGTGCTTACTGTCATATATATTTCCTTGTCTTATGGCTTGTACGTACCCAACTGGCAATATCAGATTCCAGATTCAATTTCTTCTTCGGGAGCAAAGATTCTTTCAGTTAGTTCCTCTTTCCTTGCGAAATTGTCTTGCATTTGACTATAGCAGACTTTGACAAAAGGCACAAGTCACTAAGCACAGGTTGTCTTGTCCATTTCCATTCGAAGGTGAAATGTGGAGTACGTGGTGACACCGGACCAGCCTGTAATGTGGTTGGAATGATTGACCGAACAATACTGGGTATTCAACATTTGTACAGGAAACCAGTCTTTGAAAGAACAAAGGTATGTTCTCCTCCGAAAGCTTGTTTTAACTGTTTATATGCATTGTGTACCGCCCTTAGCCTATTTATTTCCAATGTTCGGTACTATTTCCCCATTTTGATAGCAATGCAGCATCAACTCACCTGATTATGGCCCATTTCCTTCTGATGCCCCTACATGGTGTCAAGCCCCATTTGAACCTGAAGGACTTCTGAGGTTTGTTTATAGTTTCTTCCCCACCCTCTGAAATGCCTTTTTCATCAATTATCTCCAATGTACTGGGAATATGAAGATAGGATTCTATCCTCTTGTACGAATAGGTAGTCATTGATAAGAGTAACAATGAATTATGTGCACTATTGTAAGACCACATTTCATAAACCAACATGAAGTCCAAAAAGATTTAGGCTACTTTGATTTTCAGTGTGCTTTATTTGCATGCTTATGGTCTGACCTTGTATGCTCTGGTTGTAGTTCAGTGATGGCGATTGTGACCTGCTTGGTTGGTTTACACTATGGGCATATACTCGTCCACTTTAAGGTGACAATTTCTTCTCCATTTATTTCTTTTCTTTTCTCACAAGAAACATATCAATGGATTAGTGTTTGGAATGTAGGATCACAGGGATCGAATTCGTCTGTGGCTAATTCCATCTTCAGCTTTTCTAGTCATGGGGCTTGCCTTGGACATTTTTGGTATGGTGATTTAGTGCTCTTGCAGTAGTAGCACACTGTTAGTGGTCTCATGGGCTGTTCATCTGCTTTGTTGTTGTAGGAATGCGTATTAACAAGGCTCTTTACTCATTCAGCTACATGTGTGTTACTGCTGGTGCTGCCGGCTTTCTCCTTGCCGGAATCTATCTTCTGGTAGATCAATGAACCCTTTTTCACATTTGTTATAATACTTATACAGAGGCATTCAGATTCAATTATAAAACTTTGATATAGGTTGAGATCTATGGATATCGACGAGCGACATGGGTATTGGAGTGGATGGGGAAGCATGCATTGATATTATACATCCTTGCAGCCTGCAATATCATACCAATCATTATACATGGATTCTACTGGAAGCAGCCTCAAAATAACATTGTAAGTTGGGATTGTAATTTCAATTTGGACCACTCTACAAGAAATTTTGCAGCCTAACATAGCCTGGTTTGAACTTGTACAACCATCCAGCTTAGCCTAATTGGAATTGGAAGATGAAGTGACAGTTGTGCTTGCAATCCATGGAAATATAGGTTTTTTTCTTTACCTCTTCGATCACCTTAAACTGTCTCTACTTAAAACTTACTTGAAACCAGAGAGGTATAGTGTAGGCAGGGAAAATGTGTTTTGTATATAAACAGTACTGAGCAGAGTTGAGATTTACACTTCCAATTACTTTAGGAAAATTTAATATTTTTATCATTTTGGCACTGAGAAAAACAGCTTAATTGGAAATGAAAAGGTTACTTGCACTTGCATTTACTAGAATTTGCTATGCTTTACAAAATCTGAGTAAATTTTTTAACATATTATATATATATAATAATCCATAGATACAATTTTTTTAATAATTTCTACCTAAGAAAGGAGGAAAGTGAATTTTATTCTTAATAGATATATTAAGTTGATGACTAAATACAATAATTTTTAAATAATAAAATTTATAATAATATAACATTTGGGTAAATTAAGGATAAAATTAAATGAATATAACACGTCAACAAAATATATGTTAACTTGTAAATTTTGTATAAATTATGAGTATCACACTCATAGGTATAGATGATGATGATGATGATGATGATGATGATGATGATTATTATTATTAGTATTATTATTATTATTATTATTATTATATTTGTTGTGCACGGGGATCCGATTGATCCTTACAAAACTAAGGATGTTTGGGATTTGTTTAGAAGCAAAAGGGAAAAAGTGGGATGGTATGAGGCGGTTTGGGGGAGGTATCACATTCCGACGTGCAGTTTTGTTGTATGGATGGCGATGTATGATCATTTGCCTACTAGGATTGCTTTTGATTCAGGGTTGCATGTGCCTCCTTGATGCTTACTTTGTGAGGAGGAGCGGGTAGATGATAGAGACCATTCATTTGTGCTTTGTTTCTTTATTCCGGTGTGGTCTATAATTTTAGGCGCTTGTGGGTTATATATGCAAAGGTCCTCTTGGACTACTTGGAGTAGGTTCATTGGTATAGTGGGGGTAATAGGAATCATGGACGTCAAGGAGTGTGTTGGGTGGTGGGGTTGTGTTAGGAATAAGTTGGTTGGATGCAAGGATTGTGTCCTTGGCCCGGTTGTTTTGGTTCAGAACTGGGGACTTTGTTTAATTGTTTGATTTGTTTGTATAGTTTGGTGCGGCCAAATTGGCCCATTACTCTGGTAAATAATTTACCGGGATCGGTAATGGGCCAATTTAGCCGTTTGGTGTTGCGTTTGTAGAGTTTTGTTTTTTATTGTGTTGGTTCTTTCAGATGAATTTTTTTTTGGGTACAAACGAAGTGGTTATGGATAATAGCCTATCATCTTTTAACACATTATCCTTCTAAATCCCTTTCTAACAGCTCTATTATCTCTTCTGGTTGGTTATCCAGAATGTGAACTCCCCATATTTCTCAAATGTCAGATTAGCGAGACGATCATCACATCGGTTCCCCTCTCTACATATAATAAAAGTATTTTGATTATCCAAAAAAAAATTTTAATATTATTGGACATATTACTGATAATATTGTACTACCAAACAAATGTAAGATCATAGTGTTTGGTTTGATAAATATAAAATATGAATAATGTATATTTTACCCAATTGTTCTTGAAACATATTTTTTATTAACAAGTTGAGTTCTCAAAGAGTTGAGTTCTCAAATTTAAAGTGAATATTTACATGAAAGTTCATAGAAAATATAATTTTGTCTATTATTTCTAATTTATATATTTTTTATAAAAGTTTTAAACAAATAATTTAATAAAAATAAACATAAAAATTAATAAACAAAATATCAATTCAAATTATTTGACAAAATTAATAAAAAAATAAAAATAATATATAGAAAATCTTTTATGGAAATTAATCCTTAAAAATAAACGTAATAAAATACATACAAAAAATAAAACTTGAATCAAACACATACATAATATATAATCAAAATAAAAAATATTTTTATTTTTATTTTTTATTTTATATGTATCATATTATTTATAATACGTATTAAAAAATTAGATATGTTAAAAGAAGAATAAAAAGAATTATACTCGTGTAAATATATACTAAAAGAATGATCACTTTGAAATAAATATATTATTTCAGAGGTATTCTTGCCCTAAAGAGAAGGATTGTCTAATACCTAAGAAAAAAGAGAGAATGACATTCTCGGGTAAAGATCAAAAAATTTTACTGTAGGGAATAATTCATTACTCAAGAGAGAATGTTCTTAAAATAAACGTGAATATATAATTTAAAAAAAATTATTTCTAATAATAATGATATTTTCTGTGAACGAAACAGTCCCTAAATCATATAAGCTACTTATTACTTTCTTGCAAGGAAGACTATAATGAATAACCATTTTTTAAAACCGAATAACAGAAATCTAATAAATCCACAAGTTATCTATTTTAGTTATATGTAAAAAAAAGTAAGGTTATACAGATTGTGTTCATTCCCCAATTATCTTAAAAAAGTAAGATTATATATATATATATATATATATTGTTTTTTAACCTCAAACATGAGTTGTGCGTCTTGTTTATTTATTAAAAATATTGATAAGAGACATGAAATAATTTTTAAAATAAATTTAATATTTTTTATATACTTAATAATATGAATAAAGTTTAGTTCTTTTCCTTTTAAGAAAATATTTACATATCTTTCAAGAATATATAAGTTAAAATATTTTTTAATGCATTCAAGAGGATTATATTTGAATCGAGTGAAGAAAATTATATTCGTTACGGGGTAAATCAATCGGGTCACGATCAAATAGTGGGTTAAATATTCAAAATAACATCGTTTTAATATCTAAACATTTTTTTTCTCAAAACGACGTTATTTTGAGAGAGTTTAAATACTCTATCTTAACTATCTTTTTTCGGGTAGTTATGCCGTATGTTAACTTAATATAGGGATAAGAAAAATACGTTACCGAAAATATTATTTTTTTAACATTTTTGATAAAACGCTACGTAAAACATTATTTGTTCTACCAGAAATGTAAGTTTCGCTAGCTAATTTCCGATAGAAAAAATAATGTTTAGGTAACGTCCAATATTAATATTTCGATAAAACAAATAATATTTTAAATAACATTATATTAAAAATATTAAAAAATAATAATATTTTCGATAACTCTTTTTACTTCATAGTATATTAGGATATTTTTTTTCGATATAACTTCTCTCTAAAAGTTTAGTGGTCTCTTATCATTGTTACCGTCATCGTTAACAATCACCGCACCAGCCATCATAACCAGTGGTTGACAAAATTCAAAATTATATGTTGCACTTTTTCAATGTCTTGATTATGAATCTAAGTTTCGTTTGACCTAAAAACTTTCCAAAATGCCTAGATCTGTGAAAGAATCGTTCAAACTCTTTTGCCATTCGATCAACTTGATTTTGAACAATGTGATTCCTCTTGTCCCGAGCTTCACTTTCATCGTTCAGATTTTCGAACAACACTCCGATCACCGACGGCCGACTTCATCTTTTGTTTTATTTTTCCTTCCTATTTTTGGTATTAAGTGACTTTTGTTCTCCCTTGTTATTCATCTTTGAAGGCTCAAACAAGGATGGTGGTTGGTTGTTGACTGCGAGTTTCAGTGAAGAATAAAATGGATGGGTGATTAGAGATCAGAGTTGACTTGGGTCGCTACCAATAGAGTTTGGGAGTGTGACTCTATGGGGTAAGATTTCCCTGTTCAGGCCCAGATTTGGATTATAAGTTTAAGGTTTGGTATTTTTGGCTTGGCTTTAAACCGAGCCCAAGTTAGTTTAATTTAGTTTTTTTTGTCCAATTTGGGTTTGAACCGGTCCTATACTTCCCGGATAAAAATAAATGCTCACATTAAATCTTTAAATAAATATTACCTTATATCTTCCTTGATTTTGTTTCTCTTTTCTTCTTGAATGTTATCTCTTTCGACTGTATTTCTTCATCGATAAGATATGATGCAAAAGGAGTTTGTTTGCAACCACACATAAAACATGATAATTATAACATTTTTTATCAATGAATTATGCCAGTCTTTTGTTGAAGACACTACTTTTTTTATTTGTTTATTATTATTATTTATTATTATTAAATTTTTATATTATAGGTCCATTAAAAATTACAAATCCTGGAGGCCCAAATGTTAAATCCCAAAGCCCAGTTTACAAGCCTGATCAAAAGTCCAACCAAACCCTAAAACCATATTAGGGTTTTTACCTCATTCCAGCAGCTGCCTCAGCATCACAACCGTTGGATCTGGCTTTGATCCAACGACCCAGATCATTTCAGACGAAACCCTAGGGTTATGATACCCTAGGGACCACGCGGTGCCACCTCCAAATCCAGCCGCCTCGATGAAGCCTCCAGTAGTGTTGTGTCACCATCCACGTTGCCATCCCTACGGTGAGTCACCAACATAGTTATGGTGACTCACCGAGGGCCATTTCTTTAAACCAGTCCAAAGAAGAAACTGTGGTGGCTATAAAAGCCACCACCGGACCTGCAAAGAAGAGAACGGAGACAAAAAAAACCACGAACTAGAAACAAGGGTAAGAAACCGAACATACCACAACAGCAAGCCAAACAACACCAAGCCAAACAACACCCATAGTAGCAAATCGAAAGAAAAGAGAGAAGAGAGAAGAGAGAAAAAGATTTACTCTGATTAGGAGATTTTTAAGAAAAACTAAGGCTAGGTTCCGTTTTAGGGGGTTTAGAGCTCTGTTTTGGGGTATTTTGGGATTTTCTGGCCACCGTCAATGGTGGTCGACGGCGGTCAACGGTGCCGAAGCACGGCTTCCGGTCGGTGGTCTCCCTCTCTGTTTTAGAGAGAAGGCAGAGCTTCTCTCTCCTAGAGAAAGAAACTGAAATGGAAAAATGAAAGAAATGGCTCAAGGGAGCCGATTTTTAGGTATTTATACCCTCATCAAAACGACGTCGTTTTGATGAGGGGTCTGGGTGTAATTTCAAAATAGTTAAACTACATGCGCAGTCACCTGAAGTTTATAAACTTCCATTTTAGCCACTAAAATCAATTTATGAACATATTAATATTATCTTC